CAAAAGTTAACTACCATATAGATCAAAAAATAAAACACTGCCATTTCACAAGAAGCCCCTTCATATGTGTCCCCATTCATAATCCCTGGGTGTCCCCAAAAAGATAACCATAATCATGACTTCTATGTAAATCACTTCTTTGCTTTGCTTTGTGGTTTTACCATTTACTTATGCATTCTAAACAATATGGTTTAGTTTTACCCATTTTTGTACTTCATATAAATGGCATCATATTACATGAATTTTTCTGTGTCTTTTTTGGCACAACATCATGATAATCAGTTTCATCTGCATTCTTGTATGTAGTCCTAATTTGTCCACTTTTTTGCTGTAAGCAGTGGTTCTCAAACATTTTGGTCCTGTGATCCGTTTACACTGTTGAAGGTTATTGAGAATCCAAAAGAGATTTTGTTGATTGGACAGTATCTATCTATATTTGCCAGTTAGAAATTAAAACAGAATTTTAAAATACTAATCCATTTAAAATAACACTAAAAACTCATTCCATGTTAACAAACATTTTTTATGAGAAACTAACTTTTCAAAAATGAAATGAGGAAAGTAGTATTGTTTTATGTTCTTTGCAAATCTCTTTAATGTCTGGCTTAATAGAAGACAGCTGGTTTCTCATAGCTGTTTTTGCATTCAATCTGTTGCAATATGTTATTTTGGCAACAAATACTGTCAGTTGTTTACTTTGAAATGACAGGCTCACTTGGTTCATTTTCAAAAATAATGTCTGCCAAATACCAAAGTTTGAATAACCATAGGTTGTCTGTTAGTTCTTTCAAGTAAAAATGGTGGCTCATGAAAAATCGGCTAGTTCAGCTTGCAACCCAAACCATCACACACATGTTCTTTCTGAAGACAGCCGTAGTACTTCAGTATGCTGCAGAAGTGCTTTATGCATGCTTCCCATTTTATCATACCAAATATTAAAAAGATGTGTACTCAAAAGTTAGTTTAACAAAATTATAAGCTTTATTCTTCTTCAGCAAGTACATTCTTAAGTGGAATTTTTTTTTTTTAATTGAAGAATATAACAACTACTGAAGAATGTAATGACTTTGGTCTTTGGTGACACTGCCTCATTTGTACTAAGACACCAGCAGTTTTACCACCATGTCTTTATCCATTCATCCGTCGTCAGTGGACACTTAGGTTGATTCCATATCTTGGCTATTGTGAATAGTGCTGCAGTAAA